CTCTACCCTACCTAGGAATCTCACATAGTTTACTTATGCCTACATTTTACTATATTACACATATATTAATTTAGCTCTATTGTGTACTAGGTCTGATGCTATATATTAAAGTAAAAAATGACATGGCCCTTGCCCTTAAAAAAACATTTATAATCCAGCAAGTAAGCAAAAACACAGTGAATGTTCTGACTGCTTTTGAACTTACCATTTGTTCAAATATTCAATATGATTTCTCCTTTTAATTTTTTATTTTTGATCTATTGGTATAGCTTCTGATCAGATTATATCCCTAGGTCATATAATGTCTAATAATAGATCTTGTTATATGATCTGGAAACTACATTGTACTATTTATGACTATATGATAAAGTAATTAGACGGACTTGCCTACCAAAAAAATTTAAACTAATGGACAGTAACTGTTAAAATACTTTAATTGCATCATTGGGCTTACAGAAAAGTGAATAATTTAGAGATGCCAAAAACAAAGTTATGCAGGGAGTTTAAAGCTGTTTGAGGATGGCTTTAGTTCTGCAGGTTATCTGCCAAAATTATGGAACTAATCTTCTACTTTGACACGAAACAAACAAACAAACAAAAAAAAACAAAAAGCTGAGAGATAAAGAATCAACAGAAGCAACAGATATACACCTGAAAAGTTCAAATATTCGAATTATAATCAGATATGAAATATTTTTCAAAATTAAGAGAAGAAATTTGAATATAATCAAGAAGCAAGACACCATTAAAAACCAACAAATTTGGAAAAGAACCAAAGAGAAAAAAAAGAAAGAAAAAATATCGGTCTGGAGTGGTAGCTCAGTGGTAGAGTACTTGCCAAGTATGCAAAAGCCCTTGGTTCAATCCCCAGTGTAGCAAAGTAATAGTAAATAATAACAATTGATATTACAAACTCAGTGGATAGGGTTAACAAAGTTATTAGAAATTACTGAGGAAAGATTGAGTAAATCAGAAGACAGAGCAAAAAACTTACATGGAATACAGCCCAGAAATATAAAAAGAAGGAAATATGCACAAGGAAGATACAGTGAAAAGATTTACTATAAACTAACCATGGTCCCAGATAATAGAATGGCAAAAATAATATTCAAAGGCACAATGGTTGAAAATCTGCAGGCATTACTGAAAGAATACTTTTTTTTTTTTGGTGGGGGGGAGGGGTTACTAAGGCTTGAACTCAGGACTTCTTGCTTGCTAGACAGGTGCACTACTGCTTAAGCCGTATCTCCAGCCCTTTTTTTTCCCTGGTTATTTTTGAGATTAGGTCTAACTTTTTGCCCAGGCTGGCCTGGACTGTGATTTTTATTTTATGCTTCCTTGCTGTCACTGGGATGACAGGTGCATGTCACTGCACCCAGTGAATGATGAGATGGAATCTTCTGAATTTTTTGCCTGGGCTGGCCTCTAACCACAACCCTCCCATTTCAGCCTCCCAAACAGCTAGGATTACAGGTGTGAGACACCAGTGCCTGGGGACAGATTACTATTAAGAGTAAGGCAATTAGGGCTAGGTGCATGGCTCAAATGGTAGAACACTTGCCTATCAAGCAAGAGGCTCTGACTTCAAACCCTAGTACTGCCCTCTGACCAAAAGTAAGGCAATTATATTGATGGCTGATTTCTCAAAAACGATGTGAATGTAGGAATATATATTCACAATTAAATTATCCTTTAAGAACAAGGGCGAAATGAAAGTAATTTTTCAAAGTGAAATTGAGTGTTTACTCTCTAAAGACCCTTATAAGGAAATTCTAAATGCATAAACAATTGGTAATCTATGATGCTAGTAACTTTGGAGTAGTTACAGTAAAGCTAAGTAAATTTACTTAACTAGTAAAGCTAAGTAAATAGTTACTAGGTAAAATAACAATGAGGTATGTAATTTTAGTGTTAAAAAAGGAGGGTAACATTATCAAAGTAATAGAGGAAAAATAAAGGGATGAAGTGGGGAATAAACTGAAGAGAAGGACAGGCAGATGTTATAGACTGAATTGTGTCCACTTTCTCCCCAATGTGACTGTATTTAGAGACAGGACCTCTAAGGATGTAATTAAGGTAAGTTAATTGGCCATGATTAATAATCATAGCACATTACATTCAATGTGTGGGGAATGCACATTCTCTATTATGCATGGAATACTTATGAAAATCAACTATGCACTAGGCCAAAAAGAGGCTTCAATAAATTTTAAAGTATCAGTATCTGTCATAAGCAGCCAATAATAATTAGTAGTTTATTGCTTTAAGCCACTAATTTGGGGGATAATTTGTTACAAACCAACAGATAACTAATACAGTATCATAAATACCAATGTAATGCTGTTAAGTTCAGAAAGAAAAGCAAAATAGAAAAAACTAATTATTTAAAACTGTTTAAAATTTTTCTTTACAACTTATAGTTCAAAGAAAATTAGAAAGTATTTAGAATGATTGATAAGGAAATATAGAATACAGCTTGTGGTATACAACTAAAGCAGTAGCTATAGCTATAAAGTAATATATGATTTGGTGTTTGAGTACAGCTTGGGCTACATAGTGAGACCTTGTCTCAAAACAAGCAAGCAAACAAACAACAGAAAACAAACTCTTAAAAATATGTAGATTTTAAAAATTAAAAATATGTTATATTAGAAAGAAAGCTATGTTGTCTACATTATAAATTTTGAAAATAGAAAAGCAGAATATACTTACTACCTGGATAACCAAGTGTTCATATATACACTGATTCACTTCTATGCTTTCTATTTTACTCCATTCGTCTATTCCTCTATTTTTGTGCTAATGCTTCCTTATCTTGAATATCCTAGCTTTACATTAAAACTTGCTATTAGTTAATAAGCAATTACATTAAAACTTGCAATTAGTTAATAAGGCTAGTTGTTACCACATCCCACTAAAATTGATTGGAACTGCGGTGAATCTACAGATCAACTAAGGGAGAAATGGCATTTTTTCATTTGGTATCTCTCTTCATTTATTTTGGTCTCCTACATATCTGTACACTTTTTATTATTTATTCCTACTTAATACTATCATAAATACTATATTTAAAGTTTCTAACAGACTATTGCTAATATAATTAAGGTTTTGGATAATAATTTTTATTAAGTAACCCTGAAAAGCATCCATGCATCAACAGAGAGGTAACTTCTGAGCTAGGCTTTGAGGAACTGGTATCTCCACAAAGAACAGGAAAATGTATTGTTGATGGAACAAAATAAGCAAGGATTATTTATAGTATGCTAGAATAGCTAATAATTTAGTGGTGGGGGAGGGTAGATCATGGGTAATGAAGAAAAGAAAGCTGAGAAGACAAAGGTCAAATTGAAAGGAGCCTTGAAAACCATAGTAAGAAGTTTGGCTTTTATTTAATGTCATATTATTTACTATATTATAGAGTCTACTATTCACAAAAACTGAATAGTAAAACTGAAGTAAAATGATGATAAGAGAAGCTAACTTCACCAAGTCACACATTTGGGTCCAGGAACATCTTGTTCCAATTCTCCATGCTGGCTCCTCAAATTATATATGCTTATATAATAGTTCAAGCTGATGAGAAATGAGGGAGATCTAAATTAGGCTGACGTTAGGGTAGGAATTGAAAGAAATGGTCAGAATCAAAAATCCTTAGGTATTTACAGGTACTACTAGATACCAGATACTATATTTTCTTGACTCTAACCTTAGCTTTGCAGACCAGGGTCAACTAATTTTACCCATCTGGGTCTCATTTTCCTAGTTATAAACTAAAGAAGCTCACCAGCATAATCTCTAAATTGTTTTCAAATTTAACATTCAGATAATTAGGATTGTGAAGGACAAGATACTCAAGATAATTCAGAATTGTAGCTTAGAATCCTGGACAAACCCTAGAAGGAGGAGGAATAAAGTTCAATTTTGTATAAACTGAATCTGACATACCACTAGATCTAGTAATTAGTTACAAATTAAGTCTGGCCTTTAAGAGAGAGATCTGGGCATCACTAGCATCCATATAGTAAGTGAAGCCATGGGAAAGGATGACATTACCCAAGAAAACACTAAAAAGACACAGAAGGTGGTCACTCTTTTAAAAGAAGAAGAAAAAGAATTTAGCTAAGTAAGACACAAAAGAATAGGAGTCGTTTACATTATACAAATCAAGGAAAAGATGAATTTCTAAAGCTAATATGATCCTATGATGTAGTTTTAGGCTGGCTAAGACAAAAGTAATAAACAGATTTAGAAATAAGGTAGACGGTGATTATCAACTTTTCAAATCCTACATCTTCACTGAAACTGCCTTCACATGCATAGTACTAACTGTAACTTTTCCTTTAGATGTTGTTTAAGACAGTATTGCTCTGTCATACACACTGTCTCAAGAAAATAAATCTCATTATACCTTTGTTAAAACAAAAGCATTCACTGCCTTAGCATGATATTCTTCGCTCTTCATATTCACTCTACTCTTCTATCCTACTCTCCTACATTCCTCACCCATAGAGAACATGCCTGCCTCCCAAAGCTCCATGCAGATACTATTCTCCCTTACATATCTTCTCTACTTCCAGAAAACCCATTCTTTATTTCAAAAGCAAACTATAAAAAAAGAACTGAAAAATAGACAAACTATAAAAAAAGAACTGAAAAACAGAAAACAAGTAGAAATGTGATACTTAATCCCAATCATACCCTTCACATTAATGTAAATGGTCTACACTTTCATTATAAGGCAGATTTCATACTGAATAAACAGGAATAATACACTGATACAGTTCTTGAAACACTACAAACTATGAACATTAGAAAGAAGAATCTACTACTATAGTAAACTGAACATAATTCTGCTAGATTTCTGCCAATACTTAGGAAAATTTAAAGCATCTCAAATGAAAGCATGATGAAATTAATCTCAAACTAAAGTTTGGCTTCCCTAGATTTCCCCAAATGTAAAGGTTCCCTGACCAAATATAACGATGTTCATAAACACTGACCTTGCCATGGCTCCTTTCCACTTTTTGAAAACACTTGTTCAGGGATAGATTATGTCGAACAGAATTCTTCCAGCCTGTTGGTGCAGTAGCAAAGTATGGGAAGCGATCCAAAATCCAGCTATAAATTTCTTTGACAGGCAAACATTTATTTGGAGAGTGTTCTATAGCCATATAAATGAGAAGACTAAAGGAATACGGGGGCTTTGAAGTGGCTGATTTTTTTTCTGAGTTCTGGTAGCAAGGTGGTCCAAATGATGCCCCATCATCTCCTTCTATGTCATACAATGGGCTCACCATTGGAAAACCTTCACTTCCGAGGCTGAAGTTTGTTAGAAGATTAGTACTTTCATGAAGCCAGTTCAAGTTTGTGAGTTCATCATCTGCTGACTCACTGCCTACTAGAGTGGCCTTTGGCCCGGCAGCATCAACAGCTTCAGGCAAGCTTCCCATTTTGTAAATCTGGCTTAGTCCTGCAACCTTTTCAGCTCCTGGGGTTTCAGCTCTCTTATCTGGAGTCATTCCAATTACTGGACCCATTTACTTTTATAGGTCTGCAAGGAAGGAAAGAATTACCGATCAATGTAATACTTAGGATTCTTAAACTACGGAAAATAGAAATACTCATTTAAATATCCCAAAATCAGAGAAAACCTCATCACACCTTTGTTTTTAAACATTCACCTCAAAACTGAAATCCAAACAAGTTGGCATGATACTCACCACCATTCATATTCACTCTACTTTTCCACCCTGATCTCCTCCTACATTCGTCATCCAGAGAATATGCCTGCTTCTCAATTTGCAATTATTCTACAATATTTAAGCACAATAAAAAGATAATAAATTATAATAGAAGGAACCAAATTTATTTCATATTGTTTGAAACAACTGTAAATCAAATGCAGCCTTACAGCATCATTTGTATGGTGATATCAAATTCAATAATGTAGTTAAAATACTTAGTAAACTACCTACGTCCACAGTAACCATCTCATAAATAGTGATTATTATTAAAAATGAACAGACTATTTCAAGACTTTATAATGTATATCTCAAGGTCTATTTCACTATAATAATCACATATATGGCTCAACTCCAAAAATTATCAAATTTCAAACATTAACTCCAGATAAATCCTTTCTTCAAATAGTATTTACTATAAAAAGATAAACCACTTCTAATATTCTACAGCATATCATACTAGAGATAATATCTCTTTTCAAATTATTTTTAATTGACAAAGAATAACTGTATAATTATGAGGTACACTGTGATATTGTGATATGTGTACACATTGTGGAATGAGTAAATCAGGCTAATTAATATATCCACCACATATTATTTCTCTTTATGTTGAAAAACTTAAAATCTGTTTTAGCAATTTTGAAATATACAATGCATTATTAACTATAGACACTATGGTGTGCAATAGATGACTAGAACTTCTTCTTCTTGTGTCAGCTGAAACTTTGTACCCTTTAGCTAACATTTCCCCTTCCCTATTTACCCTCTCTCCAGCCTCCCCCAGGTACTTGGTAACCACTTGCTTTCCACTTCTATCTGTATAACAAGATACCATGTTTTATTAAAAAAAAATTCATTATTAGCTAAATTAAATTTACTATAAATTTATTATTTCTTTTATAAATTCAAGTATTTAAAACTCTGCATTCTATGTCATCTCATCAAGTACTGACATCTCTCAGGCTACCACTACATTATCAAGAAAACTGGGGGAAAGCTATTAGTAAACTATCCTGCTAGATTTCTATTTTCTCAAATGTTTTTTGGTTTGCATTTTAAATATACCTAATTGAAAAAAATTTATCATGAGAGAATAACTGAACAAAGAGGGAATCAATATAACTAATACATTTAATTCATTTTCAATGGCTCATTTCTGAATTCACTGAAAAATTCTGTATTACGCTATTCAATCTACTTATGTTTAAAAAACATACATCCAGAGTTTAAGTTTAACACAGTTGGAAGGTTACTTCAAAAATTACAAAAACTGATCAATTTTAAATATCTATCTGGATTCTGGTAGCTATTACTAGGGTGTCTCAGAGTACTCAATTAGCACTAGCATCAGCCACTATTTTGGGGACCAGACATTGTGATAAACACTTTACATACCATACCTCAACTAACTATCAATTAAACCCTATAAAACAGGCACTTTTATGAATTCTATTTTATAGATTTTAAATTTTATAAGCATTCTTTCATAGTTCCCATCTTCCTTACACACACATATAATTTAAAACACCAAAACCCTGTATAAAAGGAAACAAACAAACTATAACAAGTTTGGTTTCCATTTCAATTATTAAAACCACAAATACAGCACCTACCTAGCAAGTGTGAGGACCAGAGTTCAAGCCCCAGTACCGCCAAAAAGAAAAAAAAAAACACACACATAAAAAAATTCACACATATATGCACACAATGTATTTCAGAGCTGACATCCTTTCCTGTAACTGACCTAATTATATATTATCACCAAAGTCTCATCCATAGACTTAAAAATGTAACAAGTAAGAATTTATTGGCTGAATAAAGTCATGCCACCCCTCAAAACAAAACAATAAAAAACTCTTTAGTATACTCAGTGTCCAATAAAAGGGAATTATTTTTTTTCCCTCATTTTCTTTTCTTTTTGGCAGTACTAGAGATTTTTCAAATAGGGGAAATGATTAATTTCTAATGTTTTCCTTTTTCCTTCTCATCCAAATCTCCATTAATCTTCAATTACCTATAAAAATTAGAAAATACCAAACTGTGCCTAACATTTACTGAGATTTTACTATATTACAGACACTACAAGCTTTAAAATGCATCACATCTCTACTTTTATTCTTACCTACTACTTAGTTCTATATATGTCCTTTCTTTCTGAATGTAAATTTCATGAGGGGTAAGTTTTTTGCTCTTGTATTCCTTATCTATTTTTTATGAAAATGCTGGTTATGAACAGGTACTCAAATCACAATTACTATAGTCTAAAATACATGTTTATCTATTATATATTATATGTCTATTCTGTACTAAATGCTCTATTAACTGCCTTTAAGAATTATATTTTGAAAATCAGTTCTTAATGGTAAGAAGCATCCTTAATGGTAAAATCTAAAATCATATTAATTGTTATGAATATGAAAATGGAAGTGAAGTAAGACATTTGCCTAAGGTTCTAAAGCTAATAAAAAGTAGAGCCAAATTTTAAACCAGACTGAGTTCAATATCCAATTAGTTGCACTCAATCTGTGAAGGAACTTTTATTTTTAGTAATACTACTTAAAACAGAAGTAGTGAGTTGTATTAATATAACAGGTACTCAAAAATCAGTCTCTTAGTAACTATTGACTAACAATTCTTATGAGAAACTAATTTAGATGGTGGCAAATATGGTGTTGCTCTGAATTACAAGGTTATAATAAAAGTTCTTTACTTTGTAATGGGATGGAAATTGCAACAGATATGCCCAAGAGTTACACTAAGTGTGGATCCAAGCAAAGTTTAACAATCAAGTATATGAACACTGAAATGCTGTCATTCTCTTGGTAAGGTTTGAACTTACATTGTATTTTCAAGGAAAAAACAAAGAACTTATCTCTACATTATCCTTTTAGAGTACTTTAGACCGCTATCCACTTTTAGCACTAAGTCTACCACAATGGATAAACAGCCAAGGGTCTTTTCTTACAAATTAAGTAAATACAAATAACAAATAAATACATTAGAAAATATTCAACTTCACTATGGAAATGAAAAACAAGCAAAAGTGGTATTAAGTATAATGTACTTAGCACAATTCCTGGTATGTAGAAAGCAGTTTTTAGTAATAAAAATGATATCCATCTTTGCCCAAATTAGAATGGGTTAAGAAAATATATAATATACAATTTTGGGCAAGAACCTAGAGTCATTTTGGAAAGCTAAGTGGCAATACGCACCAAGAATCAGTAAAAATTTCACATCCTTTTGCCCAGAAATTTGACTTGAGTCACTTTGATAAAATAATCCCATGTAGAAAAAGATTTTCCCCTTTCCCCTCACCCACTCCCTCTACCTACCTCCACAAATGCCCACAAAATTGTTTTTCTTTTTCCACAAAATTATTAAAGATAATGGAAATCTATTACAACTTACATAACCTATAAAAGAGACATGAAAAGTAACTAGAGCACATCTATTCAATCTAGTACTTGGCAACCACTAAAAATGACTGTTTAAAAAAACAACCAAAATAAATTTAAAAACTTATAAAAACTGGTGGAAAGTAAAATATATAAAAACAAAAAGCGAGTAGTGTTATCCGTTACTGACATGGTCATTTTTTCTTTGTTGTAATATAGTCTAGTTTTTCTTAAGTGTGTTTATTATTTTTATAGTTTTAAGATTAAGAAGCTCAAGATAGAAAATCCTATGTCAGACTATTTTTCATTACAGTCTTCCCATTTCACAAAAACAAATCACAAAAAGGTCATGGACTTATCAGAAAGCTCAAGACAAAAACACCTCTTAGATGATTAGTACAGCCTATTCTGTTATAAAGCTTTTCTGTAACACAAATTAACTCAGCAGTAAGTAAGTAGGGCAATGGTTTTAGTATAATGGAAAAATCCCATTGGTTTTTTACATGATTTTTCTCAGCCTATGTTATTGCACTACAAAATAACAACAGCTGAACCCAAAATAGGCCAACATAGTGGAAACCATTAAGCTGCTGAAAGTATAGTGCTGCATACACTGTTCTTCCTGTTGGCAGTGTAGCCATATGTTCTTTCCTGGAAGTACTTAATGAGCCCCTCTCCAAATCTTCATGTTTTATCCTGGCCTCTATAATATTGTAGCCTCAACCACCCTTTCATACTTTTATCTTTTTTTAAATCCTAAATTGACTGTATTAGTGACAAGTTTAATATGTTTTAGAATATTCTAGTATTCTCTTTAATATTTCTTTTTGCTAGCATCCTGGTTACAAAGCCAGAATGTTTTAGGTGAGGTAACCAATCAACTGTGTGCAATTTTAGTGTTTTCAGGAATATATAATATGCAATATTACTACAAAAAGGTGTACATATTTCAAAACAAAATAACTCTAGAAAACTTTTGTTTTTATTTGGAAAATTCTAGTTTTACATGAAACTATGTCTTAATATTCACAAGCAGAGTTTTAATACCATGCATGATCAGTTTGCTTCATAAAGCAAAATGTGTAAAGAACAAAAAGGAAACCTAGGCTAATGATGCAATACTTTGTTTTATTAATGTTTTAAGAATGATATTTCAAAGCTGGATCCTATGGCTCCCACCTGTAATCTTAGCTATTAGGGAGGCAGAGATCAGTTTGAGGCCAGTCTGGGGAAATAGTTTAAGACCCTATTTTGAAAATACCCAACACAAAAAAGTTGGCAGAGTGACTCAAGTGGTAGAGAGCCTGCCTAGCAAGTGTCTCAAACCCCAGAAATAACAAAAAACAAAACAACAAAAAAAAACCTTCAACAATCAATGTGTAATTGGTAAACATCATTCAAAATAAGCATTTCAGGAAGGAACACACTTTGTTCTCACATGAATAATTTTAGAAGCAAAGAATTTAAATAAACTCAGTAAAAATCACTCGAGATTCATGTGCAACTGCCCTCACAGTATCTTTAAAGAGGGTTTGGCAGGCAGGAGGTGTGACTCAAATGGTGGAGGGCTTGCTTAGAAGTGCAAGGTCCTGAGTTTAAACCAGAGTACAGCCAAAAAAATATACAATATAATCTTTAAAAAAAAAATGCCAGGTACTTGTGGTTCACACTTGTAATCCTAGCTACTAGAGAGGCTGAGATTGGGAGGACTGTATTGAGGCCAGCCCAGGCAAACAGTTCACGAGACCCCCATCTTCAAACTAACCGAATGGCTGGAGGTGTGGCTCAAGCAATAGAGTGTCTGGTTTACAAGTATGAAGACCTGAGCTCAAACACCATCCCATCAAAAAAAAAAAAAAAAAGAGAGAGAGAGAGAGAAAACAACCACTAGGGATTTAAAGATACCATTTTTTTTTCCCACAGCAGTGCAAGCTCATGCATCTCCCAAAGTGTCTAACAGTGACTTGAACATCTGCGTATTATGTTCAAAATTACAGTAATATTCTTCTCTAGGACCAGAAACACAAAATTGCGTACTGAAATTCTTTGATCATTTCCCAAAAGGTCAGGAGATCACTTTTGATTAAGTTGGTATTAACACTGGTCTGAAAGGAATGTTTTGCAAAGACTAAGAAGCAAAGTATACTACGGACTCTTCAGTGTTATCTAAAAGATAACATGCTGATTACAGAGAATTAGATGCATTACACTGATAGGCTTATCCAAAATAATGAAGGTAGCCTACTAAATAGGCTTTAACCACAGAGGTTTGTGTTTTTATTTTATGTATTTATTTATATATTCATTGCAGCACTGGGGACTGAAACCTGGACCTCACAGTTCGTAGGCAAGGACTCTACAACTTGAGAAATGCTGGTAGCCCCACACTTGTTGACTGATTTTATTTTCCCACATTTTTAGTTGATTGTATTAAAGACTAAAAAGTTTTTTCTTTATAATTCTCCCATATTAGGATTCCTAAATGTTATTTAGCTTCCACTTTTAAAAAATACCACATAAAATTGAATTGCACATGACACATTCTGGAATTTGTTTTTTCCTCCACCAAATTCACTAACATTATTTGCAATGTAATTCATTTTTAGACTAGTTTTCCACTTCATGAATATACACAATTTCCTTTCTTTTTTTTTTTTTTTTTTTTTTTAGCAGCATCAGGGACTGAACCCAGGACCTCTTGCATGCTAGGCAAGTGCTCTACCACTGAGATGTAACCTCAGCCCCTACAATTTCTTATACATAGGACATTTATTTGCTTTATACATGTTGGCCATTTAGGTTTTCTGTTTTATGAAGTATCTATTGAAGTCTTGTGCCCATTTGCTAGTTATCTTTATAATAAACTGAAATATTTTGATATTATTGTCCTGCAAATTATCTTTCCCCAATATATGACTTATCTTTTCAGTCTCTCTATTGGTTGCCTTTTATTGCTGAAAACTTTTTTTGCTTTCAGGGCTGGGAGTGGTGGCTCACCCTGTAATCCCAGCTGCTCAGGGGGTGGAGAGGAGACTAGGAGGCAGAGAAGAGATACAAAGGATCTTGGTTTGAGGTTTGTTTGGGTATGGGGGGTAGGTAGGTAGTAAGGACCTCTCTCCATGTCAATAAACAAGGTGGGTGTGAAGCATGTCTGTAATCCCAGCTATGTGGAAGGCTGAGGTAGAATAATGGTCAGAGACTCTACCAGAAAAATAACAAAAGCATGGCTCAAGTCTTAGAGCACTTGCCTAGCAAGCATGAGGTTCTGAGTTCAAATCCCAGTAACCCCCCCCCAAATTCTTTACTTTCATATGGTAGAATATGCTAATCCTTTTCTTTATGGTGTAGTTTTAGCTTTTGCCTTTCATATTCAAGTCTTCAATTCACAAAAAAAAAGCACTTTTTTTTTTTAACCCAATTTCTTCTTTACCAGTGGATATACAATTGTCCCAGATGTTTCTCACAAGGATGAGCTAGCTGTCCTTGGCAACCTTACACATTTTTGCCCTGGTCCATGTCTGAGTTTTGTTTGCCACAAACAAGCTTGAGGAATGACCTAGCATCTCCTCCAAAGACAGTCCAGTCTTCATTAGCATTTCTCTCAATCATGACTCATTCAGATGTGATTTTTCTTGAAAATTTTTGTTACTGATTTCTAATTTAGCTGAATTGGCATTATAATGGTCTACAGAATATTGACTCTGAAATTTACTGATACTTGCTTGATGGTCTGGTAGATGTTTCTGTGATCACTGATGAAATATAAGTTCACTGGATCAGCTTATTAAATTTCAATGAGCAGTGTTTAAATTAAGAAGTTTAAAATTTCTATATGCCTACTGATGGGGAGGTTCTTTATTAAATACTGAAGAAGCTATATGATCTCCAAATGTATTAGAGAAATCTGTCAATTTTCCCTTGTAGAGCTGTTAATTGCTTTACTTCATGGATGTGGTTATTCGTTGTTTACATATTTAAATCTGTATTTTCTGGCAAAATGAACCATTTACCATTATGTACCAATTCTTTTTATATCTAATAATCCCATTTGTCTTAATATCTATTTAAAATGATATACAAGCTGTCTTCCCATTCATATTTGCCTGGTGTATCTTTTTCCATCATTTTACATTCAGCATCTTTTACCTGTGTTTCCTTGTAGCCTCTGTCCTAAATGCTATATTACTGAACATTTTAAAAAATAAGGCATGTACATGTATTTGGATTTATTCCTACTATCTTATTTGGTGTCACAGTCTGTCCATATTAATTTTTCTCTCTTTTCTTGCCTTTTTGACATTTTTTCCTTATTCCATTCTTCTTATTACCTACTAGTGTGGAAGCTGCATATATATTTCTATCATTTGATAGATAAAAATTTTGATACATGTTTATCAAGATACAAAGTTATTTTTATTCTGCTTCTGAACAAAAAGATCTTTTGAATAGCTCCAATTATCTCCTCCTGGTTTACAAAATATTAACTGGTATGTTAATTCTAGCTTTTTTTTTAATAACATTATATGATGCTATAATTAGTTCTTATACAGTCAATTTTTATTATTTTACCCATGGACTTGCCACTCTCTTTGTTAATCATTTCTTCTTCATTCTCAGACTTTCTGCCTATGATCAGTTTCCTTCTACTTAAAAAGTGGTTTGGGGCTGGCAGTGGTAAAGCCCATGCTTAGCATTCAAAAAGCACAGAGTTCAACCTCCAGCACCACACCAAAAAAAAAAAAAAAAAAAAAAAGATATGTTTGGTTATAAAATTCTACATTATACTATTTTAACTTATTGAAACTTGATATTCCTTTGAAGATGTTTTCTCTAAAATTTTCATTTATTAGTTTCTCTTATATTTTCCATTTTCTTGTCTGTGTTACATTCTGGCCTTCTTCAGATTAACCTTTTATATACCAATTTTTCTTCAATAGAGTCTATGTGTTTTTATATATACTCATTGGATTTTAGCTTCTTCAATGACTTTTCATTCCTAGAACTTCTGATTCTTTTGCAAAATTTTTTTTTCTATTTCTAATGGTTAAGCCTCTTACTGGACATAATATATATACTAACTTTCTATTTCACATCTGATAATTTCAAAACATGAACTATTTGTAGGTCTGACTCAACTTACTGTCCTACATTGTGTCCTATTTCTTTGGATGGCTAGTAATTGTAATTTACTTATTTTCATTATCACTTAACTAGTGGGCAATCATGGATAATGACTATGTTAGACTCTATCCCCATGGGAATAGTAACAATACAGAATCATTTTAAAATCTTAACTTGAGGTTTTAATGTGGATTCCTGCTGCAAACTAGTGTGAAGGCTGGTTTGTGGTAGCAAATTTTCAGTGAGATGTTAGTTTTAGAAAGACAATTTTCTGGGGACATGAAGGGAAAAGAATTTCTGCATCATAAAACACACAGAAGGCTCAGTCAGCTTTATGGGGTTCCAAATTAATGGGGAATACTATTCCTGCCAGATGCTCTACCTTGAAGGAATCTGGGCTTTGCTGTCTGACCCAAGCCCCCCCCAAAGCCAGGAAAACGGAAGCAGCTTGCTCACCTGATCTGGCAAATAACTCTCAAAGCAATGGCCAACTTCAAAACTCAGCTTACCTCAAAGAGTCCATAGCTGCTGTTCAGTCTAAGTATTCTTTACTTTTGTGTCAGAGCACTGATAAATTTAAGATTACTTTTATCCAGCATTTTAGGATGTTCTCAGTAGAATGCTGATCTAGGTACTTCAATGGCCATGCTGCTGGAACCAGATGTTTACATTACAGTAAGTCTGCCTTATTTGCAGAATGCACACAGCATGCAATTTTGAGCAAATGCAGACCAAATAATAAATAAATAAAATAAAAAAATAAAATCCCATGCACTTACACAGCTCAGTTAATGTGGAGACACTCTCAGTCAAGCATTATTGTTGGTTGCATCTAAATCATATGATCTGCTTCCCTGCCCTTCATTTTGTGAAATTATGCCTCCCAAAAAGCAACATAAAAGTTATGGTAATCATCCGAACCCAAAAAGGGCACATATGTGCTTAATGAAAGTGATAAAGTGGAAATTTGAGATTTCTCGAAAAGTGGTATATCTGTAATGGAAGATGGATGGCGGTATGGGAAAATTCAATCAAGCTCTCCAGTATTCAAGACAAAGAGCCTAAAATAAGATCTAGGTTATGGTGAGCAGTATCAGTGTATACAACAGTAATTTTTGGGACAGTGGTGTAGCCTACTCCATGTGATTTCAAGTTATGGATGCTGAGAGCTTCTGTACATACAGTATAGGTGAATTTGTGTGATCTTAGCATACTGAGCTCTGTGCACTCTGAGCATTGGTGGGATTCCTCAGTGGGTCTCCTTGGAAGCATACGCCCTTGGACATCAAGGATCCACTGTAGTTTCTCATGGGAATGTAAGTAAAGTACTTTATTCTTTACTTTAGCTCATCTTTTTAAAGTTTTCTCCCTCAATATAAATTTGGATAAATCTACAATACAGTAGTATTGTAGATAACAGTTGCTCATTATGATGTTGATTCCCAGGCAGAAGTAGAGAGGACATATTCCTGAAGACAGAAGGTTAAGTATCAAAAACTCTGGACATTTTTATAAGATCTCTTCCCATCCTTTTAAAAGTCATACTCTTTAAATATAAGAAATATACTTTAACCTGTTACCTATTATCAAGGCTCATTACTATAAACAAAGTCTTCTTACTAAAGCATAAGGCTTACAGAAATTGCTCAAGTACATAGGACTACTTGACACTTGATCAGTGTTTTTCAAATCAACCTGTACCATGGCAATATTTTGTGGGCAAATTTTCACTTTGTGCTTTCAGTTTAATAATAGTATAAAAACGCATTTTACCATTTTCAAGGAGAAAAGGTTTTTTACTTTTTTGTTTTGTTTGTTGCTGTTGTTGTTTTGGCAGTTTGAACTCAGAGCCTCAAGCTTGCTGGGCAGGTAGCACATGAGCCACACTCAATCCTTTTTTGCTTTATTTTTCAGATAGGACCTGCTGCTTTTTGCCCCCAAACTTTCTATCTAAACCTCCTGCATAGCTGGGATTACAGTCATGCCCAGCTTGACTCTTGAGATGGATAAGGTATGTGCCACCAACCCCTAGTTATGAGTGACAACTTTTTTAACAAAACTACTTCAGGAACTAAAGTTGGCTGTACTCAAAATGAAATCTACAATTGTTTTTTTCTTTAAAAGTGATCTATGGCTGACTCAAGTTGTAGAGCACTTGCTAAGCATGCACAAGGCCCTAGGTTCTATCCCCAGTGCTGCAAAAAAGAAAAAAAAAGGCTCCATACATTGTTTAAGTTTGAGAAACACTGTTCCACTTTTAAAAAGCATCACACTATTACATCTGAGTTACTGGATTAATAATCTTGCCTGTGTGTCTTAGACTTCATTTGTACTGTAGTCACTGTACCTGATTAATATGGGTCTATGATCCCTTATCTAAAATTCTCAGGGCCAGATCTATTTCAAAATTCAGAATAGTTTGGATTTTAGGAAGGTATAATGTTACATCCCAGTGAGGTCTGAGGCAATACCCCGTAATAAATATTTCTGAATTTCACTCTAAGAGGGGGAGTAAATAAAGACCATCAATAGGTCTTATATCAGCTCAGATCATGTTTTGCTATTACAAAAGTTAACAAAGCTTCTGGTTTTCGGAGAATTTTCAATACTTGAAGTTTTTCTTAGAAACAAAAGAAAAAAGTTTTTGTTTTTATTTTTGTTTTGTAGCACTGGGGATGAAACCCAAGGCTTCGTGCATGTTCGGCTTTACCATTAAGTCATATTCCCAGACACTAGAATTTTCCATATTTAAACCAGGGAAATTATCTTACATTTTTATTACCTGCTACAGACTAAAAAAGCCAAATCAATTTCATTAGATTTTCATGTAGTCCTAATTATGACCTAAATAAGGATAAATGGCTCAACTTAAGACGTATGAATTTCACGTATAAACATTGTGCCCACCTCCCCCACCCCCCCAGGCCAACTATACAGGGATCCCTTTTTGTCTATTTGTTGAGGATACAGATTAAGTAACCTCCTGATAAGGGAACATGTCATGAATTACTAAAATGTCAGAAGTAGCCAAATACATATAAAAATTTTAAACACATTCTGAGGATAAAATATTAGCTGTATTGGACTGTGATTTCAGTGTCTCTATACATACCAATGTGGATAAAAAGTGGAGAAAGAGAAATCTAAGAGAGAAACTATTCAGAAGAAGCTGTCCTGACTCTTTTCTAGGAAAACTTCAAGAAGATATCTCTTGCTTCTACACTCATGGCTCTGTTATCATCATTGTCAGCTTCCATAGAAAATGATGTGACTGCAAAATGAAAAGCATCTTTCAGAAATGAATTAACATACATTATAGTAGGAAACGTTGAGAAGATACTTGAGGAAGTTGTATAACTGAAGTAAAAATTGTAAAGGATAAATAATTTCATTAATAAAAACATCACAAAAGTAAAATCTAAATAATTAATATTGCTATTGATCACATCTGGAGACAGTGAAGCAGAGGGTTAGAAGCATGTGCTGTGAAGAGATAATGCCTGGGGTTCAAATTCCAGCTCTGGCAGTCACCAGGCTAAAAGACCTCTCAATTTAGAATTATAACAGTACTATACCTACCTATCTTTGTAAGATTTTAGTACAAAATACGTGAGAATAAAAAATAAAGTACTAGTACTAACATACAACACTAGCTGGAGAAATGGTAAGGATGGTTATTACTATTATCTCTGCTATCAATTTTTTAATTATTAATTTTCTTCATATGCAGGAGATTCATGCAGGCTATCTTCTTCAAATATAAAAATAAGGGTTCAAAATCAATAACAATACTTTGCATTTTAAAGTTTTGAAATTATTTTTTAAAAGGCTACTATTAAGGAGGAGTCTCCCTATGACTAATGACACCAAGTGAATGAGGCAGCTAACGAAAACAGAACTTCTCAGAAGAGGGCTGCAATAGCTGTTTCCTAATTTTCTGTATGATGCGACTTCTACTTCCTTATTCTGTTTGTTTCCGTGTATTTTACTTACGTCTGTATTTTGCCAGTCATGCTACCCAACAGAACCCTTCTTCAAAGCTCTATCATTTATATAATCTAAAAGAACTTAGAACTATTAGTTTTTGTAACTAGTGGTCCAAAAGAGTCTAAATTCCTTTATTAACAGCTGTGCTGATGCCAACATTTTCAGGTACAAAAGAATTTACTTTCTTAAAAAAAAAAAAAAAGACTGGAGATGTGGCTCAAGTGGTAGAGCCCCTGTTTTGCTAGTGTGAAGCCCTAAGTTCAAACCCCAGTCCCACAGTGGGGGGGGGGGGAAGGAACCCAAGATACTACCTGTGGGGAAAAAGTTTGAATTTTCACTTATTAATGCCATTGTCCATAATAAAAAGAAAAAACACAACAACAAAAATAATGGTGTAATCAAAGCAGGAATAAAATATCTAACTGCAGAGTTACATTCATTTGTATCCAACAAATTCAGAATCTACTATCCTGTTTCAGAAGTCTTATCAAGTTAAAATACTCAAAATAATAATTTCCGGTCTACTGTCAAGACAGTACTTATAGTGTGATTTAGCACAGCTCTTACAGTTCATTCATTCATGCGTTTGGCACTGGAGTTTGTACTCGGGGCCTTGCACTTGCTAGGCACATGCTCTACCACTTGAGCCATATCCCTAGCCCTTTTTGCTTTGGTTATTTATTTATTTATTCATTCATTCATTCATTTATATAAAGATCTTCATATAAAGATCTCACATTTTTGCCTGAGCTGGCTTTGTTTATTTTATTTTATTTATTTATTTATAAAGTCTTGCATTGTTGCCTGAGCTGGCCTAAACAGTGATCCTCCTACTTATGCTTCCCATGCAGATGTGATGATCAGTATGCACCATCACACCCATCTTTTTTTGTTGAGATAGGGGTCTCACTAACTTTTTGCCCAGGCTGGCATCAAGCTGCAATCCTCCCAATCTCCACCTCATGAGTAGGTAGGATTATGGCCGCCATGAGTTACAGCACCTGACCTATTTATTCTCCTGAAACCATGGCCTTGCACATGCTAAGCATGATGCTCTATGGCTAAGCACATTCCCAGCCCCACATAAAATTTTTAAAGCATGGGTTCATTTTCTTTCTTTCCTATTTTTTTTTTTCGGTGGTACCAGGGTTTTGAACTCAGGACCTTGTGCACTTGTGCTATGTTTCCAGTCCTTTTTGCTTTACTTTTTTTTCCTGATAGGTCTTGTATTTTTCCCCAGGCCAGGCTCAGATGGTGATTCTCTTACCTATACTTCCTGAATAGTTAGGATTACAGACATGTGCCATGGTGCCCTACAGTAACACAAAATTTATTTGATGACCAAAAGATCAGGCTCTAAACCCAGCAATCCTCACGAGCATAAAAGTTTTCTAGTGGACACTTTAGAAGTTACATAGATCCACAGAAAAGAAAGAATAATTGCAACTAACTCAGTTCAATTTATATGTGCAACATTTTAAATGCTTTTTTGTTTTTTTAACACATTAGTTGTATAGGTAGGTTTTACTGTAATGTTTCCATTTATGCTTATGCTTGGTTAGATTCAACCCTCCATCATTCTCCCTCATTTTGGTTTTGTTTTTCTGAGACATGGTCTTGCTATGTAGTCTAGGCTAACCTTGAACTCATGATCCTCCTACCTCAGCCTCCCAAGTGCTATGATTACAGATCTGCACCATCACATTGGGCTCTTTTTAAATGTTTTTAACGTATTATTGGATCTCTATATGCTACATTTTCATTTTTATTAAGTTTCTATCTCTACCTATATTAAAGTTCTTAGAGTCCTAAGTCACTGTAGGTGTGGCTCAAGTGATAGAGCACTTGCCTAGCGAGCACAAGTTCCTGAGTTCAATCCCCAGTCCTGCCCTCCCCACCCCCCCAAAAAAAGCTTAGAACCCTAAATCTATGTAATTGTTTCTAGATAATTTGTTAAAATTTTACATTTAATTTATTGTATTGTCTAAGAAGTCTTACGAGGAAATAAAATACAGCACTGAAAAAAGACTCAGATCAAAACAAAACATAACAATCAATCAATTCTTGATGCCCCAAAGCAAACTTACTCAAATTTATTTTTTCTTGTACCCTTGAGCCAGTCATTGAATATTACTCAGGGTAATGAGGAAGATCAATTTTGATGTTTCTGATGAGCTTTTACCTGAACTAGAGCGAAAAAGAACCATGCCATCTGTTATGTTCTACTAGAACTGGGAAGAAGATGAAAACTGCTTGAACAACTGTTCTGGAAAGCTTGAGGAAGACCGCATTTAGTCCTATGATTAAAGCAGGGGATGATTAGCCTTCAACTACATGACAGCATCTAACCTACTGAAAGCTGTTTCTCACTATTTTGACCATACTCTTCTGGCTTTCTACTTAAAAATGAGTTCCATTAAATTCTTAAACATCTGAAAACTGCAGCATGTGACAGATGAGCAGGATTTTTTTGATTATACATAATTAAGAGTATAGATATGCCATTTTATCACCCACCAGAACTTAATATCACTAGCAAATCAAGCAATTTCACAAATGTCAAAAGAGCAACAGAAAGTAAGCACCATCTAAGATTTGTCTCTTTTTCTAGTGCTTCTCAGCTGCTAAGCAAGCATTTGTGGCTTGTACAATGGCAGAATGGGCCAAAAGCTTAGTGTTGTGACCTGTTTTGAAAATAAAGTATCTTGAAATAATTAGGCATTGGGGAAAAGAATTTTTGTCTTTTCTACCCATAAAAAAAAATTTTGACTTAGGCTAAGATAACCCTAGCAAAGGGAAATAGGCAGTCCTTCACGTAACTCAGATCACTATGAATGTTTTTCATACAAAAAAACAAAATCTGTAGAGCTATACCACAGCACAGAAATCCAAACATTTGTGAATTTTAATGAACTGCTTGGCAAGTCTTCATTGTAATTTAAAGCTTTGCCACTGGCTAACATTGCTAAGATTTGATCAAGTATTCTTTTTTTTTTTTTTTTTTTTTTTGGTGGTACTGGGGCTTGAACTCAAGGCCTTCACCTTAAGCCACTCCACCAGCCCTTTTTGTGATGGGTATTTTCAAGATGGGGGTCTCAGGAACTGTCTCAGAAACAGTCTCAGACTGCCTGTCTGGCTTTGAACTATGATCCTCCTGATCTCTGCCTCCCGAGTAGCTAGGATTATAGGTGTGAGCCACAGGCGCCTGGCTTGATCGAGCATTTTAGCAGTTTACAAATATTATTTTCTAAATCTAAAGATTTCTTTATTTAAAAAAATAAAAAATAATTTTCTTCTTGTTAATTTATAGAGTTGGTAGCAAAACAAAGTCTAACATTTACTAAGCACATATTTATTTTCAACAAGGCATGGTATAACAAACCTAAAAAATATTAGCACTTTGAAAGATGTTTTTAGTTCAATCACTAGTACCACAATAAACAAACAAGTAAATCTCTATCACCTCAAGTATCTGAAAATCTTAGTAAACCCTGGATAAGGAGGAAAAACGATATATAAGAACTTCCAAAAAAAAAAAAAGAACTTCCAGCAAGTCACAGTGGTGTATGTCTGTAATCCCAGCACTTGGGCAGCTATGGCAGGGAGATCCAAAGTTTAAGACCAGTCTGCACTAAATAGTGAGAACTTGTCTCAAAAAACAAACACACAAAAAGAAATTCCCAACTTTTCCTATTGACTTATGTGTGTTCTTTGTTTTCACTAAGATTCTGCATTATAAACAGTACCCATTTCATAAAAAAAAGTACTGAGAATAGAGGGTATAGCCAAATCCCAAATGTACTGCAGAAAGATGTATATTTGATTATAATGCTACATGATGTCATGCATCCAGGACAACTGAAGCATTATGGTCTCTTTGGGATAACACTGCCTCTTGGTCACAGATTTAAGGTGACAGCATATGAT